GAGATATTTTCCCTTATCTTTTCCCTTGCAGAGGTGGCGACGATTGGTACGAGAACGAAACGCGCATAACTACAATAAAGAACACTCGCAGTTGTAGGGGCCAACACGTGGCTTACTACCGAAGGAACTCTGGACGCTCGATTGGCCGTGGCCATCTCCTGTCCTATGCAAACTGACTGAATAACTGACCTGTTCTTCCTGGTCCGCAGAAGCATTTAAGATTGCCAAAGGGCTTTCGTGACTAAAGTTTGAAGACCCATTCTCGTTTGTTCTTGCCAGTGGCACGAAGGAGCATCAACTTAGACTGGAATGAAGTTATTGTAGAATAAACCTATGTGCTAGGTTCTTCACAGGCAGGGTTATACCACTGTGGAATAAATTACCCGAAGCGGTGGCTATCTGTAATAGTGTCGATTGTTCCAAGGATGCTGGGCAGTAGTAATTCCCGAAGTTGGATGTTGAAAATTCATCGTTAGGCTTTACTTTCCGAAACATTGCAAGGGCTCTGATACTGCACAATAACATTCTGCCTTTCAGAAGACACTATTGACTGGAAGTGTTGGAGGCCGAAGAAACTGCCGAAAACACAAGGAAATAGACGCGCGATTGGCAAGATCTACCATTCGTCCCGTGAGAACTGAAGTGAGCTGAAGAGTACTAAACTGTAAATTTGTTTTATTGTTTCAACAGTGCGCGGAAATATATGCTGCAGTGTTTCAGAGAAATTTATGACTGTTCTCTCGGTGGTTTTGTGTGCACTTGGAGTTGTCGTATTTACCTGTTACAGCGCCTTTTGGTTCTCTTACATTTGTAATTATACTGTATTGCCTTGGGTTATGGATTGTGAATGCTTTCATGTTTCGTTGTTTTATGGCTCAAGGCACAATTAAATAACAAGATCATTTAAAGAATCTTCAGGGATCGCATCGCAGAGCACGTACTGAGTCAGAACTTTATATTTCTTACCCAGCACGGTTTTGTGCAGAAGAAGTCCTGCCTGTCAAACTTGCTGGACTTCATGGATGAGATCACCCAAGGCTCGACCGATGGGAGCGTGTGTGTAAGTCTGTTACCTAGATTTCCAAAAGTCACTCGACTCAGTCAACCACCGACTGCTGATCGATAAACTCAAAATATTCCTACTGTCTGAGCATGTCGTCAGATGTATTACGGGGCACTTACTTGGCCGGTCCTATGTCAGGGTAGAGAGTGAAATGTCCACTCGGGGAGCAGTCTGTAGTGGTGTTCCCCAAGGGTGCGTGCTGGGACCTCTACTATTCCTCATCTACATAGACAACCTGACCAAGAGGATAGTACACCTCTTCTTTTTGTTTACCGATGACGTATAAATTATCGGTGATCCCTATAAAAACGCTATTCAGGACGACCTGGACGAATTCCAGAAGTGGACGGAGGAGTGTCTGTTGCCGCTAAATGCTAGCAAGCGTAAACAGCTTCTCTTAGGGGATCCATCGAAGGGGCGAGGCTGATAAATGGCACGGGGCACACCGGTGGAAATCACTGACGAGGTCGGGGACCTGGGTATCGTCATGCGTGGTTTCTTCCACCTCATAAGACATTGCCGGCTAGCCTCAGCAAAGGCTTCAACGTCGCTGTTCTTGCTGAGAAAAAACACCGAGGGACCCTGCAGTCCTACTGCCCCTCTACAAGGCCTTGGTGTGTCCACATCTCGAATACTGCGCGCAGGCATGGGCGCCGAACCTCGTGCGCGACCAAAAAGCTGTAGAACGCATCCAGAGACGATTCGCTAGGCTTTTCCCTGCCGTGAGGATGATGTACCCGAGGTGTCTGAGAGAGTTAAACTTGTTCTCTCGATCTCATAGGCGAATGATATGTGTCTTAATAGAGGTTTTCAAGATACTGAAGGGACTCAGCCTAGCAGGCAACTATTCTCCCTCAGCGAAAACCGAGCCCTGAGAGGACACCAGCTGAAGTTGATCAAACTTCGTGCACTAAAGAGAGAAATGGCAAACTACGTCTCAGATTGGTCAACACCTGGAATAGACTTCCTGATGAGGTTGTCTCGGTGTCCACGCTGGAACTGTTCAAAAAAGGCTTGATGGGGTGTGGGACGTAACCTGCCCCGAATCATCCTAAGGAAAGAATCGTCAGTCCTGGGTGGTAGCTATATCTTAAGCCTTCACGTATACCGCCCTCTCCCATCTTTATTATTAACTATATCATCTCACATACATCAACTACCTTCACCTCACTTGTCCAACTCCAGTTCCCACAACCTCCTCCCCGTACTAGCTTACTTATCTCTTCTCATCTTAACCTATCTTCGCATGCCTGCGGGTTCTCTACTGTTTGCTGGAGGAGTACTTGAACCTCCTGGTTAGCCTGTGGCCGATCAGCTGGTGCTGCTTTTATCGACAGCAATCCGGATTGGCGCCCCTGCTCCGCGGCCGTACCCCTACACCACCAAGGACCGATCAACTCACTGTTGAAGCGTTATGAGACACACATGACTCGTAGACGCAAGAACCTGGACTACCATACTGGCTCAAGCCGCAAGTCCTGTCCTGTCCAATTGTTATTTAATTCTGCTGGTGATTGTTATACAGGCCTACTGATTTGCGAAGTGATTTGAGGTGCTTAAGTGTTCTCATCTTACGTCACACGCGATCCCTTTTTAGTATATCTTGTTTTCCTTCCTGTCTTTTACATAATACAGTCAAGTTGTTCACTAAAGCTCTCAGACACACGTTCAACCTGTGCTGCGCTTTTGGAACCTTATCTTTCTGTGACGGTAGAAGAGCATCTCCACCGTTGAAGCCTTTCAGATTACGGAAGGAACGATGATACAAGTTTAGACATCCATAAACTTAAGTCTAGTCTAAGTCAGCGATCGTACAATTGTACGATCACTGAGTCGACTCAGCAGCTATCAAATAGTTCTCTGGGCGAATCGCATGCTGGAGTATCATTTGCAGCTGCATCATCGTGGGAACATCTGCATCCTGAGTGCAAGAAACTGGACACCCGGTCCGCACAGCCGTCCCGTTGGGGTCATATTCGCGTCCCATGGAAGTCCACTTGGCCACTTGCACCCAACTTGGGACTCTATTAGGACTCAGATGGGATTCATGTAGGACTCTATCGGATCGCTCCCGAAAAATCTTCATATTGGAATATGCCAAGCTTACATTTCTTCAACCTCACGAATGCATACCTAAGACTAAGACACCACAGCTTATTTGATACAGATACTTGTTGTGTCTAACTGTAATGAATCCCTAAAATAGAGACTCATGTATCGCCCTAATTGTCAACTATCAAAGTCCACAGCCACCTTCCGCAATGACTCAAGGTTCACTGAATCGAATGCGGTACGAAAGTCATGCATATTGCGGTGGAGCAATGAAACTTGTATCGGTGTTCCAGAATTCGCCTCAGATTAAAAATCTGATTGATATATCCTTTTCCTGGTTGGAAATCTCCTTGATTTGGCCGAGTACGTGCATACCTCAATGTAGCCAAACGAATAAGCACAAGATGGTCAAACGTTCTTTCAGCCACTTCTAGCAGACTGATGCCCCGATAATTTTAGCAGTCTTGTCTTGNNNNGGAACGGATGCAAAACTGGTGTTCCAATCAGTGGGACATGGTTCGTTCTCCCTAACCGAGCTAAAGAGAGAGAGAGAATGAAGCGGCTTGATGACCACCGGAAGACATTTACTGTATATTTCGGCCCGGGGTTCTGTCTCCGCCAGGGGCGTTGCGAGAATTGTAGAGAGTGATCACTGCAGCTATTTTCCCTACAGATCAAGGATCACAGTCGACCTCGTATTGTTCAGTTCACTTCAGTTTGTACAACCAGTAACCATGCATCTAGTGTGGAGGTTTTGGTTGTTGGCTGTCCATTTGGGTGAAAAATAGAAGAAAGATAGGAAGGTTGAAGGTAGAGTCGACCAGAGAATGAAGAATTTCAGTGATCTTAGGTTGCAAAGAAACAGATACACGAACACTACTCTTTACGACTCCCAGCCATATCACTCAGTGTCCAACCATCGATTCGGTACCACGCCTTAGCTGTTGGGGCCTTATGTGTTTCGCCACTCCAAGGCTTAGGTTACCGGGTTTCCATCATTGAACAGCGATTCTTCGCTACTATGGGGTCCACTCTGTCTGCTGTTCATCACGCAAAGGCGTGTGATAAAAAAGGTCATGAACCATGACAATCTGCTTGTCCGGTTGCCCCATCAGACTTATGAAATGCAATGCAGGCAGCACTGCTCGAACACTACAAACGAATACATGTTCCATTTTCCTAATGACCAAGTTTCTGTTCCTCAAAGCGGCACTGCTGCGGCATGCTCGACCGTTCATAGACAACCGGAGGGTTGAGGCTGAATCAGTATACTCTTCATCGGTGCGAAATCCGACCTGCTCCGCATGTTTCAGTTATCCTCGTGTTTAAAATAACTAACCCGATAGAGCAAGTTTCAGAAGTTCAGACGCGACCATGATTGATGTGGTCAATAAGCAAATCATTTCCAAGGATGATTAAACCCACCGATTCATCTCACAGCTGCGAAAACCTGAGTAGTTCTATTCTTAAATATATTTTATCATATTTCAGTATAATCAGAAATTGTTCATCGGACCTTATCGCATGATGACGTTTTTTGTAGTGTTTCCTTGCAGATCTTCATCCGTCATTAAATATGTTGTAAATTGTTGTGCGTCACTTATTTCATAAAAGTTGTTTACTTAGCAAGAAAATAGAGTTATGATGAATGTCAATCTCATTATTTCGAGTAAGTGTATTTGACTTGGCTATATGTGAACTTCATCGTGTGTCAAAATAGAATTTTCACTCATAATAGCATTAAAATCTGATTAATTTGGCTTTTGGATCTGTCTAGTCTAACTAAATACTGTTGCACCAATTTAACGGTTCAAATGCCGATGAGATATCCTATATACATTCTTCGTTTTATTTTCTTCGAAGGGCCTGGTCGTTACTTTTCTCCATGAAGCGTGCATCGTTAACGTCCTACTCATCGGAGAATAAGCGAGCCCGAATTCTCCAACGTTCTTTATCAAACCCTGTTCAACATTTTTGTCAATCCTCTGATTTGTTCGGGGAAATCCCTTTGGAGTTGAAGTATCGAATATTGACGTACCTATCCGGTAGTTTGTGTCGATTTACTTTGATTGTGGATTCTCAGTTGGAGATCTGCTATCCTTGCTCCGGGCTTCCCACGCGGCTAGATTTTTGGTCCATCTTTATGTTCGTTCCGGTCTCTGTGTGCAGTTGCATGAATTTTATGCTCCTCATGCGTTGATTACGGGTGTCGATACCACCACTCCGACAACACTGAAGCGTGCTAGCGAGAAATACCAACAAATCGGTACTGTTTCTTTTCTTTTTTCATCTTGCTTAAGGTTGTCTTTTCAGGTCTTTGTGCTGTGGTACACGTTCCAGTAATATCAAACTGCTGGAGAATTTTCTCGTTCTAGTGAGCTTAATCTGATACGGTGCTCAAATTTGTTTATTTGCTACGACAATATGTATCGGTGAATATTCATCCGGCTATAGTGTATATATATATATTATATATATATATATATATATATATATATATATATATATATATATAT